GGAAATAGTCAACAAAATGATAGAAAATGGTCCAAACTAGTAGAAAAATCGCCCCCAAACTATTTTCGACGATGTTCCGTAGAGAGCCACGCCCGACTTACATGCGGCGCCGACCTCCCGAGGCGGCTGCACGCACTCGCGCGAGGTCTGCGCGCACACGGGCCCCGAGAGTGAAGATGGGAGAAGCGGCGGAAGCGAGCGGAAGCAACATCCGCCCCCCCAAGAGATTAAGGAGCCACTTGCGAACCCTACCCCTACACCCCCACCACTTATGCCAGGGGGGCTGGGTGGGGTTCACTTCGCTCGGGAGCTCCTGAATCAAGTGGACCCCACCCTCCCCCTCAGAAATCGTGGGGGGTAGGGGTAGGGTTCGCAAGTGGCCCCCTAGAGATCGCATTCGGCGGCGAGCAAGGGGGGGAAATGAGCAGGAGACCGCCTTGTCGGCAGGCGGCAGGACTCTTCAGAAGCCCTCGCGCCTTCTGAGAGGTCTTCGGCGAAAGGGTTCGGAAAAGTCTCCGGAGGCCGGGGGACTTCCGAGCCTTCTGAGAAGGCCCGCCACCTCTCTACAGTCGGGGCATTGACCTAAGGAACCCTAAACAAGGAACGAGGCCCCTATTTTCCATAAGTAGAACTTCGATTTCGTATCGAAAACCTAAGGGAAATCCAAGGCAAGCTGCGAAACAATTAAGGAACACGGAGCCCCTCCCCAACGAAAAGGGTTCCTTCTTCAGGGCCCCGACTGTAGGGGAACGAACCATCGCAAAACATAAAAACTCGGAGGTCCGCACGGACTTCTCGCATCGACGCGGGGGCCCCCCCGGGCGCGCTCCGCGCGCCAGGGAAGGGGGTCCAGCGCCGATCCGAGAAATCCGCGCGGACCCCTGACTACCTACCAGACCAGCCCAACCCAACCCGAAGACCCGAATTTGACCCGAATTTCGGGTTGGGGGGGTGCGGGTTCCATGTGTTTTTTCAAGGTTCCCCGACCCCCCCCTCTGGAAATGGAGGGCAAATGGAGGCCTTCGGGTTGGGTTGGGGTGGTTTGGTAGGTGGTGAACCCCTGAGCTTTTATGTTTATGGCATCGGCCGTTCCCCTGAAAAACTCTCTGAGAGACGGGCACGCGGTAGCAGAACCCACAGGCCCCCGGTGCCCGCCCCCGCTACCCACCTGCCTTGGTGCTGCACGGATCACGAGCCTCCTGAAATACACGAACTCGGCCAGCTAGCCCACGGGGCCCAATCACCAGCTTCATCATTGCCAGCGTTCTCAAAGGCCGTGGAGAAGCCTTGCTCTACACGGAGGTGGGCGCAGTGACCGTGACTTTCGTAGCGCTAGCTGGTCAGACTCTGGTCGGGTCTTCCCCAGTGGTCGATGTCATCCCAGACAAGACGCCAGATCCTGGACCATGAACTGCGAGAGATGCATCAGTCATGCTGCTCGCGCAAGTGCACACCCCCATGTGCGAAGGACGAGGAAGTATGACATGTTGCACCTTGAACTGCATGCAGCAGCTCACTGTATACTGCAAAAAGCTCAGCTGCGCAGATGTCCTAGCACAGGTTGCCATGGCGCCACGCATGATCGATAAGGTTTGTGAGTGCCTGCCTCGACCGATGGCAACGACGGCCCAACCGAATGCTTGAGAGGCGGGAGCGAAATGCCAGCCCATCCAGCTGCCATCGAGAGAAAAGTGTCCTGTAATGGCTGCTGGCCCACGGCGAAAGGAGCGCTCTGGCACAACTGGTCAGGGGGGAAGGGCAGCATTGGGCACCAGCAGTCTCTGAGCAAAGCGAGGATGGAGGGTTTAGCAGCAGCACGAGCAAGTGGAGTGGGGTAGGATCCATGCAGTGTAAAAGCGAGCCAGGAGAAAAACTGCACGCCTTAGAAAGGGCCTCGCTGCTGAGGTCGCACTCCCAATGCCTGTGTTGCGGCCTTCAAACTGCACTCCTCAAACAACCCCGCTCGACGGGCAGAAGACCAGAGTGGCTCCTTGAAGGGGAGAGGCAAGTTTCCCCCTTTTTGAAGTTCAGGAGTGCCCAAGCATATAGCAACCGTACCCCAGAGCCAGCCCCGAATGTGAATCCCCAGCCTGAGAGCAGTAGCCGCACAGGCCGTGAAGAGCCCTCTGATGACAGCCCAAGGACCCCCGCGAGTGGTGAGGCCCCGCTCTAGCGTACGACTGGGAAGCATGTAGCCCCCGACGACAGCTGCTTGAGCAAAAGTTCGACGTTCAACGTACACGCTGGGCCACAGCGTGGGGCCTGAGCCATCATGAGGGCTAGCAGAAGCCTCCCGCCACCGAGAACGTGCGCCTGCAGATGTGCGCCTGCGTGGCCCTCGCGCGTCGCAGGCCGCAGCCGCTGGCCCCGCAGACCGAACTGTCGTGCCTGTGTGACGCTGAGGAGGCGGCCTGCACCGTGCGATGGAGCCGCCAACGCTGCTCGGCCGGTCGCCCCAAGGATTAGGTTGTTCCCATCCTACTCAAGGACCGCATCCCAGAGAAAAGTGTCGAAACAATGTCGAAGCTGTGTCGGGCGAGTGTCTCCCAGGGCCCGACACGTGAAGACCCTTGAGTTTCGGTACTTTGTCTGGCGCTCGAAATTCTTTCTGGTAGTCAAGGCTAAAGCAGGTTGGAGCATCATAACCCCTGGATATGGACTTCCGATGGCGCGCGATTGCTGGACCATGTTCGGTCAACCCTGGTGGAACGAGCATGACAAAGCGCGGCCGCAAGAACAAACACGCCCAAGGTGTGTTCAATGTAACACTCCTGCGGTGTGATGATTACGCAACGTCTTGACTAATTAGCCTGCCGCTGAGTACGCCCGACGACGTCCCGGCATGATCCTTGCTACTATGGACGCTCAGATGGGTGAACCTTGGTTAATTCGGTGTTCAACACAGCTGGAGACCATCGAACACATGAATATCACGACCGATGCACTGTATATCAAAGTCATAAACCACCAACCCTAAGGAGGCGTGTAGGTATACAACGGCAGCCTTGTCAACAGGCCCTATCAAAATCAACTCTAGCATGAGCGTGGTGAAATGGCATCCAGGCGTAACTGCATGGAGGGCCTCGAGGGGCCTGGCGGCATCGTTCAGGCTCAAAATGCGCGAGGCCCGATAGAGCTCCGCAGGGAGATTGACCTGTCTCAAGGGGAACGCCGAACCTTTGGCCGCCACCATCAGCTCGACATGCCCCACGTGCTCGATGGCCTTCTGAAGGTCAATAAAAAGAGCCCACTTGAGAAACCTGTGATGGCAGCCCATTTGGAACTGGCGGCCTGGATCCGATCCAAAAAAGATTGTCGCTATTGCGCCCTGTGGTGGACCACCAGTAAGGCATAGCACTTGAACGCTGCCAAGCTTTCATGATGTGACTGCGAAGCTTACCCTGAATCCTGGCAACAATGTGTATGAGAGCGAACGGCATGAAGCCAACTTCACGCTTGCTGTGAAAGCATGACCTTGGTCCAGATGACTGCCCAGCAGCACTCGTGCTCGATATCCTCAGTCAGGGGACCTGTCCGAGGGATGCAGCAGTTGTCTTGGGAAGACAAGATGCACGCCCTCCTACTGATCCTCCTCCTCCTCCTCCTCCTCCTCCTCCTCCTCCTCCTCATCCTCCTCCTCCTCATTATCCACCCCCTCCGCCTCCTCGTCCACCTCCTCGTCCACCTCCTCATCATCCGCCTCCTGCTCCTCCCAGTCCTGCCGAGCTTCGGCCCTCGCATCCACGCCCATCGTCCAGCACACATATCCCCGCGGCCTCCCAGGTGTTGTTAAGAGGGGCGCCGAGGTGCGCTCCAGTCGGCCGCCCCCCCCCTTTGCCATGCGGGAAAAGAGGGACGGCGAGGGCCCAGGGGGGAGAGACGGAGGCGAAAGAGAGCAGGAGGAGGAGGAGGAGGCGGAGGAGGAAAGGGGGAGGGGGGAAGCGGCAGGAGGGAAAGGAGGAGAAGGCGGAGGAGGAAAGGGGACGAGGGAAGCGACAGGAGGGAGAGGAGGTAGGAGATGGGAGGGGGGAGAAGGGGAGGAGAAGGGAGGCAGGAGGCAGGAGGGAGAGGAGGTAGAAGATAGGATGGGGGAGAAAGGGGGGAGAAGGGAGGCAGGAGGCAGGAGGGGGAGGAAAAATTCGGGAGGAAGAAGAGCGAGGGAGGCAGGAGCCGACTCTCCTCACCGTGCTCCGAGAGGGCCCCTAAGGATTTCACGACTAGTCAGGTCGGGCGCGTAATAGGTTGGACGGAATATCAGAAATAGCCTAAACGTAATGAAAACTACTCAAACAAATACCCAACAAATTGTACCCAGGCTACTTTCTTAACTATTTGTGCAGATTCCTCCTGTAGAGGGACACGCCCATATTGAGACTATTCTCCAGTCGACTCGCGGGGATCCAGCCAGGTGAGCCCCAGACACCTCGGGAACAGCGTGTGGCAACTCCAGCGCGAGTCGGGGAAAAAGCAGCCGTCGTCAACGCCTTCCGCACCTTTCCCGCTGCGCACACGAGGCTGTCTTCGCGGGCGCGCGCGAGGGCGCGCAAGTTCGGCCGAGTCCGACCAGCAAGGGGCCGACACGCATCAGAGGTGGAGGACCCATCCTGCGCACGCCGTCACCGGAATACATCCTCCTTCCCCCCTAGTCATCATCCTCGTCCGCGTCCTCGTCACCAACAGCGACCGTGTCATTACCAATGTCACCACCATAATCCGAACACATCATCCACATCATTAACGGCATAAGCATCGTAATACCTCCGTCAGCGTCACCAGTGGAACCATCAACATCACCAGGATAGTAACACTCGGGATCATCAGCATCATCATCATAATCATTATCACCACCACCACCATCAACATCATCAATATCACCATCACCATCATCACCAGAAGTATCATCAACAACAGAAGCAGCAGCAGATCCAGCATCATCGGCATCATCATCGGCTCATCATCATCATCATCATCATCATCATCATCATCATCATCATCATCATCATCATCATCATCATCGGCTCATCATCATCATCATCAGCATCATCATCATCATCAGCATAATCGTCATCGTTAGCATCAGCATCATCACCATAAACCTCAATCAGACACCGCATCATAATCGTCATCATCACCATCATCATCGTAATCATCGTCGTCAGCATCACGAGTCATCAGCTCTAGCGGCGAAAACGTCCGCATCAGCGTCATCGACATTGCCATCACGGCCATCATCAACGTCATCAGCAGTAGCAGCAACAGCAGCTGTACCATCGTTAACAACATCCGCAGCATCATCATCAGCAGCAGCATCATCATCAGTATCATCACCATCGTCATGAACAGCAGCAGCATTGTCCTCGTCAGAATCGACACCGTTCGATTCATGTAGGCATATGCATGTCCATCGTCAGCATTTTCAGCCCCATCATCATCGTCATCATCGTCATCGCAATAGCCATCAGCATCGTCATCATCATCATCAGCATCGTCATCATCGTCATCACCATCATCCGCATCACCACCATCAGCATCACCAATATTAACAACACCAGCATCGTCATCGTCATCGCCATCAACATCAGCAGCATCATCATCGCCAACATTGCCATCATCATCAGCATTGACATCATCATCACCATCATCAGCAGCATCATCACCATCAGCAGCATTATCATCACCATCACCCTCACCATCACCATAAACATTATCATCGTCATCAGCATCATCATCAGCATCATCATCGCCATCGAAATCACCACCAACACCACCACTATGATCATCACCCCGTCAATCCCCCCCGCAACCCGTCCTCCTCATCCTCCCATGTTTCCAGAAGGCCATAATAGTCCCAAGACTGCCCAAACGAGTTCCACAAGAGCCCCTCAAGTAGTGAAGACGACAATTGGCATGTGACGGCGTTCCTTTTCCGCCTACACCTCCTCATGCTCCTCCACCTCCTCCTCCTCATCCGCGTCATCGTCATCATCAACGTCATCGTCATCATCCGAGGCATCGTCGTCATCGAGACCAGCATTAGAATCATGACCCCCACGAGCATCGCCATCATCAGCCGCAGCAGCATCAGCAACATCAGCATGAGCAGCAACACCATCATCATCCTCATCCTCATCCTCATTCTCATCATCATCCTCATCCTCATCCTCATCCTCATCCTCATCATCATCACCAGCATCATCATCACCATCAGCATCATCATCATAATCATCAGAATCATCATCCTCATAATTATAATCAGCATCATCAGCATCATCAGCAGCAGCATCATCAGCACCATCATCATCCGTAGCAGCAGCATCATCAGCATCTGCATACGCATCACCATCATTCCACCACCACCATCATCACCAGTCCACAGTATCATCATCACCACCATCAGCATCATCATCATCAGCATCAGCATCATCATCATCATCGTCCTTAGCAACAGGATGATCATCATCATCACCAGCATCAGCAGCAAGGGCATCTGCATCACCATCAAAATCGTCATCACCACCACCACCATCATAATTATCATCAGCATCATCAACAGTGGAGACGAGGGCGCCTGCGCGCGACCTCACGCGGGCAGCCTGCGCGCCCTCTCCTCCTCCCCCTCCTCATCCTCCTCCCCCATCCTCCTCCTCCTCCCCCTCCTCCTCCTCCTCCTCCTCCCCTCCTCCTCCTCCTCCTCCTCCTCCTCCTCCTCCTCCTCCTCCTCCTCCTCCTCCTCCCCCCCCCCCTCCTCCTCCCCCTCCCCCTCCCCCTCCCCCTCCCCCTCCCCCTCCCCCTCCGAGGCAAGCAGGGCATGTCCATGTCTTGGCATAGGTCTCCGCTGTACGGGTCGGCTTCGCGCGGATGCCCCGCACTTGACGCACCCGGGCGCACGGGCGCGCGCATCCGCGGGGCCACATCCCGGGAGTCCCGAGCGCGAGGGCACGTACACGGCCTTTGAAACATGGTGCTCCCTCTCCCGGTCTGGCAGCTGCGCGAGCCTCGCATGAATTGGAGGAACAAGTGCCAAACGCACTCCTTCACAAAACAGCGCGCAAGACGCGCCAGGGCGGCCCTCTCTGGTGGGGAAGCCCCTGTCAGGCACGCGCGGGCGGGCGGAGGCGAGGGGGGGAGGAGGAGGAGGAGGAGGAGGAGGAGGAGGAGGAGGAGGAGGAGGAGGAGGAGGAGGAGGAGGAGGAGGAGGAGGAGGAGGAGGAGGAGGAGGCGGAGGAGGAGGAGGAGAGGAGGAGGAGGAGGAGGAGGACCAGTGTAAACCCAAGAGTCGTCAACGATGTTGGAATAAACCCTCCCCCCAAGCTCCCTCTTCATAGGCCCATACAACGTTCATATCCGTTGAGGGAACTGCCTCGTTGAAAAGCAACTGTTTGAGGACCCTGAAGCATGGCATGACATTGGTCTCGGGATTTCAACGCCACGCCTGCGTCTTGACGATCAGGAATCGTGCCAGCACGCCATGTCTGGACTTTAACACAGCGAATCAACATAACTGTTGCGCCCGCATGTTCCTGAATCCTTCCAAAACATCATTTCTAGTACGTTGCTCATGGGAACCCGTGAAACTCTTGCAAATGTTAAAAACAAATGTGTGCGGCGCTAAGGCGAGAACCACATGTTGAAAACGGCCCGCCCTCAATCCGTAGAACTCCTGCAATTTCTTAAAACGAGTGTGCGCGGCGCTAAGGCGAGAGCCACATGTTCAAAACCACCCGCCCTCAATCCGTGAAACTCTTGCAAATGTTTAAGACGAATGCGTGCGGCGCTGAGGCGAGAACCACATGTTGAAAACTACCCGCCCTCAACCCGTGAAACTCTTGCAACTGTTTAAGACGAGTGCGTGCGGCGCTAAGACTAGGACTAGAGCCACATGTTGAAAACCACCCGCCCTCAATATGTGAAACTCTTGTAGTTGTTTGAAACGAATGTGCACGGCGCTAAGGCGAGAACTGTATTTTGAAAACTGCCCGCCCTCAACCCGTGAAACTCTTGCACATGCAAAAAACGAATGCGCCCAGCGCTAAGGCGAGAGCCGCATGTTGAAAACCACCCGCTCTCCATCTGTGAGACCGTTGTCACCTTCGTAAGCTTCACAATCAGAAATGGTGAGAAAGTCTCAGGCGAAACGCACGGCCCGCTCTAAAAACTGGCCTCGGGGTGCGACAGGGAGAAGTTATCTAGAAGGAGAAGGGTGGAGGAGGAGGAGGAGGAGGAGGAGGAGGAGGAGACGGTTGAGGGGGAGGAGGAGGAGAGAGGAGGAGGGAGGGAGGAGGAGGAGGGAGAGGAGGAGGATCGAGGAGGAGGAGGAGGAGGAGGAGAGGAGGAGGACGGGGGGAGGGGAAACGGAGGGAGGGGGAGGGCAGGAGGCGGGGGAGATGAGGGCGAGGAAGAGGGGGGGGGAGGACCACGAGGAGGAAGGGGAGTGGATGGGGAAGGAGGAGAAAAGGAGGGGAGGAGGAGGAGAGGAGGAAGAGGAGGAGGAGAAGAGAAGAGAGAGAAGAGAGAGGAAAGGAGAAGCAAAAAAAGGATAATGATAAAAAAGGAGGAGGGGGACGAAGAGGAGGTGGAGGAGGTGGAGAAGGAGGTGGAAGAGGAGGGGGGGGGGGAGAAGGAGGAGGTGGGGAGACGGGAGAGGCGGGAGGATCAGGAGAGGGAGAAGTGGGAGGACGGGGAGAAAGGAGGAGGGATGGGGAGGGAGGGAGAGGAGGGAGGGAGAGGAGGAGGAGGAGGAGGAGGAGGAGGAGGAGGAGGAGGAGGAGGAGGAGGAGGAGGGGGAGGAAGGGAGGGGAGGAAGGTGCGCAGAAGAGGAGAAGGAGAGGAAGCGGTCGGGCGGGCAGGCAGTCGCATAGGCTTCGGTCGGGCATGTCCTCCCACAGGCGGGAAGCGTGAAGAATACCCAAACGATGCCAAACAAATATTCACACACTGTCAAACAATCGTTCCCAGACTATGTTTTGACTATGTTCGAACACGGCCCGACTGCACTATGTTTTGACTATTTGTTGACTATGTGTTGACTATTTTCCCCAACTACTTTTGACTATGGTTGGCCAATTGCTGACTATGTTTTCACTATTGTTTGACAATGTTTTTACTATGTTCAGACAATCGTTCCCAGACTATTTTTTGACTATTTTTTGACTATGTTTTGAACACTGCTCCTGCAGAGGGACTGGCCCGACTGGAGAGCATCGGCCCGCCCGATGGCCACCGAGGAGGGGAGAGAAAGGGCAGGAGCGGCGGAGGGGCGGCACGGAGCGGCGGGCGGCAGGAACAGCGGGACGACGCGGAGAGCGACGAGGAGCGCGAGGAGGAGGAGGAGGAGGAGGAGGAGGAGGAGGAGGAGGAGCGCGAGGAGGAGAACAAGAGATACGAGGAGGGGCGCTGGGAGGAGGGCGAGGAGCCACGAGCAGCGAGGGGCGGGGGCCAGCGGCGAGAGTGGGGATGGGGCACGAGGGGGCGGAGGAGGTGCGCGAAGCAGCGGGAGGGGAAGGAGGGACGGAGGCGAAGGGGTGCGTCGCATCGTGGCAGCCGAGACACACGACGACGATCTCGCTCATTTTCTGCAGTCGGGCGAGGAGGGTGAAGAGAGAAAGGTCTAGGCGAAGGAGGGCGACGACGAGCAGAAGCGGCTTGGAGACGACAGGGATGAGGGGGAGGAGGAGGAGAAGGACGAGGAGGAGAACGACGACGACGACGCCGAGGACGAGATCGACGCCGGTTGTTGAACATCCACGCGGAAGCAGCCCACGTACACCCCCAGAGGTGGGCGACTCCGCTGGGGGGTGAGCAGGAGCTCCGCAACTGCACAGAGGGAGCCGAGTCAGCATGGGAGCCACGACGGCTCGCGCGTCACTGCTGTGAGACGAGGTGCCCACGCCACGCGCAGAGCGGAGGCACCCGCCAGGAGGAGGCGAGCCGAATACAGCACAAGGGAACTGGCGAGAAGGACACCACCGGAAGCCGCCAGGCTTGGCAGCTCGACCACTAAAAAGCAGCGCGTGCCGCGGAACGAAGAGGACTGGCAGCCACAAGTGTTCCGCAAGGCGCGGCCGGCCGTCTGAGCTCGACTCAGCGTCCTCGGCGTTGGAAATCGAATAAGCTGATGAGCCTGTGTTCCACCACCACCACCACCACCATAAGTCGGAGGGGGAGGCGGTCCTCCTCCTCCTCCTCCTCCTCCTCCTCCTCCTCCTCCTGCTTCTCCTCCTCGTCCTCCACCTCCTTCCCCGCTTCAACTCATGGTGGTGGTGATGGAAAACAGGCCCAAGCACCACTCGTAAGTCATCTCGTGGTCCAGGCGCAGGGCAGAGGCCACGCGTCGGAGCACGGAAGCATCTTCGTCCCCGTCCCTCCCACCACCCGCACTCGCAGGAGGAGGGGGGGCTCGAGCGAGCAAGGTCGGACACGAAAAGATGCTTCTCGCGGGGGTGTGAGCCTGCTAAACATGTGTTTCAAGCCTGGTGCGTCCGTGGCGTCTTGAAGCTGTGGGCACTCCGGCGAGAGCCCACTCTTCGCAAACCGGCCATGTCGGCGAAACGATCCACAGCCAATGCACAGAAAACAGTCGACACTGCCAGCGCACGAGAGGACGACATTGTGTCTCAGTCTGTCCGCCTCATCTAGGTCAAAACGCTCGATCCCCTGGATTCCCGAACAGCGGCCAGGCGGGGGAACCGCGGACAAGCGAGAGACCGGACAGCAGACAGAACACCTCCAGAAGACAAGACCACGCCTGGTCTTCTGGGTCCCTGGGTCTCGTTTCAAACTCGCACGCCGAGAAATCGAAACGTGGCCACTTAAATAAAACAAAAAAACGCTGCACGGCGGCAAACAGTCTTCGCTACAGCTATCATGTGTGACAGCTGTCTCGCGACTTCGGGCGACGGCTTGGGGTGCTGCGCGGCGACAGCTCGCGCAGCCACATCCGCATGGTGGCCATTGCCGAGACGATTAGAACGCTCAGAAGGGTCGATTCCCACCTCCTCAGGGTCCTGGTGGGCACGAACCTTGGACAAACAGCCGAGGAGAGGGTGAAGATTGACATACTGAAAAAAACGCCAGCGTGCTTGCGCTTGCATGACAGTTGCCCAGCAGCTGGCAAACTCCAAGGCTTGACCACGGCCAGGCAGTCAGAACAGACCCTGGTCCCCTGCCATTGTCTGACGGCTGGCCATGCCCAGCGCAGGGACCTCAGCCGCTGGTGCGCGCTGCGAGCAAGGGGCTCTGCACAGGAACCATGGGCAGAAGAGCGCAACTGCCCTTCCTCCTACGTGCGGCGGAGCCCCTTCCCGACCTGCACTGCAGAGAACATGATGTCCGAAGCAGGAGCCGTCGAAGTACAAATAACCAGCCACGTCCCCGCTCTCACCCTCGGGAAGACCATCCGATCGGATCAGGAGGGCGAAGACACAAGGACCAGAACCAGGACAAGAGGAGAAAGTCGCCCCACACCTTACTCTGGTATAACCAATCAAACGGCGCTTACCAAAGCAACTCCGCCCGACGACAGCCTGGAGGGTCAACAGGGCCAGGTCCAACAGAAGGATGTCAAAGGCGACAGCATGAGCAAGCAAATTCCACGAAAGCCTCGAGAGAGGACACGATTCCTGAATTCAAGTGTGAGGAAGTCTCAGACGGAGGCCCCTCTGTATACAAGAAGTCTGAGCCTCAAGAACTGCCTCGACAGAAACGGACTGCAAGCGTCGGGTGGCGCAGTTCAATCCAGGAAAAAAAGGCGCGCCCACGAGCGGGATCAACACTTAGAGCCAACAACCACAATAACAGCAAGAAAATAGCCATCGCGTTGATACAAGGAACACCGCATCTGGAACGAAATAGTGTTCTGGCCACGGCGAACAAACGACCACGAGTGGGTTCCCCAAACCTAGATGTAAGGAACGGCCTGAAAACTAGATCTCCTCCTGAACACAAATCGGTCCTTGTTTCAGCGTCTCGATTGCAAGCGCAAGGGGCAAAAACTTAGATTCGACATTCCAAACTCTGAGGAGGTCTCGGTTGCCGCCAAAGGCGAACCTGCTCTGGGGCCTGTCGAAGCCACAACACCGAGGGGGAGGCGAAGAGTGGCGCAGGACACGTCGGAGATGACCGCAGAGGCATGCGAGCACCTGAGACGGCCAGGAGGAAAAGGAGGAACTGCAGCAGCAGCGAGGGAATGGAGGAGGGCCGTGGGCAACGATGGGCAAGGTGGAGGGGGCAGGCGGAGAATGGGGGGCGAGGAGGTGAAGACGAGGCGGAGGAGGGAGAGGAGGGGGACGACGAAGATGACCAGCCCCGCAGGACACCATCGAACTCCTGGAGCCCTCCTCTCCCCCTCCCACCTCCGAATTGTTTCATCCCTCATCCCAGGGATAAAAAGGAAATCACGAGACCAGCCTCAGCGCGTTCACGCGAGATGCCTTGGCCGCCGGCTGTTCCGCCTTGGCCTCCAGCTTCGCCCTCTCAATGTACTTGCCGATCCTCCGAGGCGCGAGGCGTTTCTTCCTCTCTGTATATTGCTTGATGTCGTGTTGCTGTTCGCAAGTCTGCACAGATTTCTTGGAATGGCGCTGGACCCCCCTTCCTGTCGCGCGGAACGCGCCAAGGGTTGAACCGCTGGCGCCGCCAGGGGAGTCCAGCGCCGATCCAAGAAATCTGCGCGGCCCTCCGAAACTGTATGTTCGTGCAGATTATGGTGATTCGACTCCTCCTCCCCTCCTCCTCTGAGGGTTCAGCGCCGATCCAAGAAATCTGCGCGGACCTTCAAAACTGAACGTTTGTGCAGGCTATTGTGGTTCGGTCTCCTCCTCCTCCTCCTCCTCCTCCTCCTCCTCCTCCTCCTCCTCCTCCTCCTTGTTCCTTATTATTATATACCCCCACCGACGTCGTATTCCGGCCGATAGCGACCCAATCCGGGACCTCCCATCCGGATTGTAAAACATCAATGCAGAATGGCCGTTTTTCTCAACATTGTCTTTCATGTCGTCGACGATGCGAAAAGCGTGGCAGGAATGGGACGCGGCGCACATCGCGCGCGGCAGTCAATCTGGGCCCGCCCATCCTGACTGTAAAAAATCAGTACAAAGTCCTCGTTTTTTCCTCTCAGCATGGCTTGCCTTGTCGCCGACGGTGCGAAACACGTGGCAGCAATGGGACGCGGCGCACATATGGGACGCGGCGCGCATCGCGCGCGGCCGCCAATCTGGGCCCGCCCATCCTGACTGAAAAATATCCCTCCTCCTCCTCCTCCTCCTCCTCCTCCTCCTCCTCATCATCATCATCATCATCATCATCATCATCATCATCATCATCATCATCATCATCATCATCAGCATCAGCATCAGCATCAGCATCAGCATCAGCTCATCAGCATCATCATCAGCATCAGCATCAGCATCAGCATCACATCGCAATCAGCACCATCATCATCATCATCATCAATCATCATCATATCATCATCAGCATCAATCATCATCATCATCATCATCATCATCCATCATCATCATCATCATCATCATCATCATCATCATCATCATATCATCAATCATCTCATCATCATCATCATCACATCATCCCCCTCCGCCTCCTCCACCTCCTCCGCCTCCCCTCCTCCGCCTCCGCCTCCGCCTCCGCCTTCGCCGCCCCCTTCTGCCTCCCCCTCCCGCTCCTCCTCCTCCTCCTCCTCCTCCTCCTCCTCCTCCTCCTCCTCCTCCTCCTCCTCCGCCTCGCGGTGTTGAAGTACCAAGAACGGCGTTCTGGTACGATTCCCGATCGTCAAGACGCCGCAGTCAGGTTGATCCGTGGCTCCTCCTCCTCCTCCTCCTCCTCCTCCTCCTTCTTCTCATCCCCCTCCTCCTCCTCCGACTCCTCCGCTTCCGCCTCAGCCTCCGCCTCCTCCTCCGCCTCCGCCTCCGCCTTCGCCGCCCCCTTCCGCGCCCCCTCCCCGCTCCTCCTCCTCCTCTCGATCCCTCTCCTCCTCCTCCTCCTCCTCCTCCTGCCATGGCCAAGCAGGTGCCCTCCGAGACCATGGACACTCAGCAGCTCACGAGCTTGATCAATAACACCTCCGACTTCAATAGGGAGATCTTCCTGTGCGAGCTCATCAACAATGCGCCCGATGCCCTGGACGCGGTGCAGAAGGACATGAAGCTGCTGCCGCTCAAGATCGCAAACAAGATCAAGAAGCCCTTCAATAACGTCGAGGTGAAGGGGGATCCCAAGGACATGTAGGCCGAAGAGGTCTTTGCCATGTCCCTGACAAAAGTGAAAGGGACCGCCGAGAAGAACCTGGGCAAGGAGGTCAAGCATGCAGTGGCCGCTGCGCCGGCATATATCAACGAGGCACAGAGGCATCCCAAGGACCCGATCACTAATTCTGGGATGGACATCATTCAGATCATCAGCGAGCCAACGGCGGCGATCGCGTATGGCCTGAACATGAAGATCGAGAACGAAATCCAGGTGTTCAACCCCAACGAGGACAAGGCCGTCGAGGAGATACACAAGGTGATCACGAAGACGTTCCCCGACATCAATTTCAAGCCGTGAAGCTCTTCTGCGAGGTCGCGTCGCAGAAACAGGTCGAGGACAATGCTGTTGGGGAGATCATGGAGAAGTTCCCCAACGTCAAGTTCAACCCCGTCTGCAAGACGGACATCGAGAGCGCGTGTGACGCGGCGGTGGCCAAGTGCCCGCACGAGCTTCAGACGCTGGCGAGTCCGACGTCCATCGAGAAGCTCATCTACGAGACCGCGTTGCAGAATCAGATCGAGGACAAGGCCGTTGAAGAGATCCGCCAGGTGTCTGGCGCCAAGGTCCCCCTCGAGTCCACGGCCGCTGGTAGCACCGTCGCCAGTCTGACACCAAGGCCTTCCTGGAGACAGCGGCTATTGGCGGCGACATCTCCATGATTGGGCAGTCTGGAGTGGGCCTCTACCCGCGTACCTCATCCTGTACTGGTGTGTGAGGCCAATTTCACTTTCACAGTGCATG